TCCGACGACCGTCACAGCTCACCAGTGTCCGACGACCGTCATCGCTCGCCAGTCCGACGGAGACGCTCTGTCGTACAAGCCGGTCCCGTTCCCCTTCCTGAGTCACTGGTCCCGTTCCAACGTCACCCATCATCAGGAAAACGCGCAAACAGAAGTACGGCCGATAGCCTCCAGTGGCTCAAGATAGAGCAACTAAGAACCAATTGTGAGATGAATAGAGCACTTTTGGCTTCAGTTTTACCTGCCTGTCTTTGTGGTGTAACTGTCCAATGATGAGTGCTAAGGTCTAGCTTGTTGTCTGATGTGACAGACACATATTTATGTGAATAGTGCGTTCTAAATGATGTGCAAGGATTGAAGGCTACTCGCTTAAAGATGCATTGTGCTCCATTAATTAACCCACGGTAGCATGTATCATGAGCATGTCAGCCGTCATATTCCACAGCTAGACCCTACCCTCGCACTGTCAGGCAGCTTGCTCACAGTCGTGTATAATAACTAGAAGCATGCGCATGCCAAAGTTGGGAGGATTGAGCTGAGCACAAAAAATCGAAAAATAGTTTCATAATTGTAGCTAGTGCTCTGGATGTTGTGGTGACTTTGCTTTCCTTCCGCCTCCAGAATTTGTTGCCCTGTCTCAGTCCCACCATTCTCTTCTTCCCCACCACATCTCCTCCCTCTCATCCGGGCCACGGCCACCTTACTCCCCTTCTGTCTGATGCTGAGTTAGATGGAAGAGGAAAGAGGTCCGCCATCACCTTGCTCCAGCGATGCATGGCAGGGTTTACAGCCAGCAGGTATGGATGCCAACAGAAGCTACAGTGTGTAATCTGTGTCTTTGAGTATGGCAGGGCGGCCGAGAGAAGCAGATGTGTTGTGCGGGGTTGCGCCGTTTCGTTGACTGCATATTTGTTTATAGACTTCCTGTGTTGTTCTTGTCGCACTTTACCTGTTAGTATAGCACCGCAAACTAGTATGTTGTATCAGGCAGAACACATTAGATAAACAAAACCAACAGTAAATCAGACGAGTAGGTTTCGGGGTCCGTACAGAGACAGTCCCTTTTGTGCCTGCATCAAGGGTGACAGATGTGTGAGAGTTAAGCAAGTCCAATTGCAGGCGCACATGTGGTGCCAGAAAAGGCAGCAGGGAAAAAAACGTTACAGACCTGGAGATAGCCCACAGGGGCAATGCAATGAAGCACTAACCACTGGGGGTGTCAATGCAGGATGCACATTATATCAACCACACCAGGAACCCATAACACACAAACTCTGTTTTCTACCAGAGAGAATGCACAAATTTTGGGTTCAACCTCCAGTGGTGAGCCCTCTTCTACCCAATCCTCAACACTTACTGACGAGGGCCGATTCTCTTACGGTGTTGTTGTAACCAAAATACCTGTGAAAGAACTTTTTGAACTGTTCTTCCCTCCGGTGTGGGGGTTCTGTGGGGTGGAGCAAACCAGCCCCACAGGGTGACCCTACCAGCAGGGATACTGTGTTAGGAACATTGCTTGCAGTTGTGCGTAAAGAAAGAAGAAAGGTGTTTGGCATTATGACATGTACAGGAGGAGGTCGCTGCTCTTTTTGTCTCGTGTGTACTCTCCATCCTACGTCTGTTTTTCATTGTGTGGATGTCTTTCTGTGCCTTCTTCTATGCGTGGTCTACGATATCTGAGACATCCCGTCCAGGGAACAGACGGCATGAGCGAGCACACATGGCAGATAGGTACGCACACCGTGTCACCGTGTTCAATTTTATGGTTTTTTATCGTCTCATGCTCACCTTCTTGTGTTCATTCTAACTCCTCGTCTCTTTGTCAGTAGTCCGGCCGGTGAGGACCCACTGAAGGTTGGTGCCAGGCTGGCAGCTGCCTGTATACTAGGTAGTGGTCTATACATAATGGACAGAGTGTATTCTCTGTGTAATTATGCAGGATGAGGACAAAGCGGTGACACTGACGCAGGATGCAAGCAGTAGTACAGCTATGAAAAAGTTGCTATGTCTCGCGTCCCACCCATGAACATCGACACTGCAGGGACCCCCGCCGTGACACACTGCGCCCTTGATCTGCCAAAATCTCTATTTGCTTTGGCCTTTGTAAGTCTCCCAGCGACACCATACTAGCACACATGTGTGTCAGTGGTTGTATGTATGTGGACACGCACATGTGGATAACTGACTACACACAATACACACATGTCCACATACAAGCACTGACACAGACACGACACACGCACACACGCACACACACACACACCTCTGTGATCATGATGCAGGTGAAGTTCCCATGCTGGAACGGAGTTGTAGACGACGGGGGTCCTGGTGGCCAGGTCGGACGCCAGCTCCAGATTCAGTTTGTTGAGTTGTTCACCTCTTCAGAGTCAGCTCCACCTTGTGGCCCAGTCAGTCGGAACATACCTGCACGACCACACATACTCCATCCACTCTAGCTCAGAATGCACTCGTCGGCTATCTTTCGTTTTCAGTGGTACTACACTAAGCTTTGACAGTGTAATACTTCCAAGATGAGGTAGTCATTTAACTAATCACCAGCTTTGTAAAGGTTAATGCACTGATACCTTTATGTGCATGACAGCACTTAACAAAGCAAGACATGTGTTGATAATATGTAGTGCTATAGTATTTATAGAGCAGAAGGGGTAGTATTGTGTATGTAGTACGTACTGGATGAATCCTCCGGCCAAAGAAACAGAAGGAACTGAGGGCAGCGAAGGTTGGCTGGCCTGTAGATGTTGACCCACCAGACATCTCAGTAGAGACGTGGTGTGCAGTGATAGCTGATGGACGAAACACGAAACCCATCACAAACGGTACACTCACTGCCACTAAATAGCGGGAAACTTTATATAAAAATAGACACTTACCGCTTCTGTTTTAGGGCGTCTATGAAAGAATCCACGTCTTCAATGGAAGTACTGTGCTCTATGGAGGAGACATACATACATACAACTACTACATACAGTACATACATACATACATAGGACAGTCATGCAGCCAATTATACACGGTACATCGTAGTAGTGGGACCTCTACTGTACTGACAGTAGCATCATAAACCATGCATACACTGACTCATATTCGTAGGTATAAAGTGGTACGGCGACATGTGTAGTTACTACAACAGCACAACACAAATGGGTGTTTTGCACTTTTGGCAAGCAGGGAAAAGCACATATAATCCACATTGTCTAGTATTGAAGGGGAAACCAGCATTCTGGGGTGGCCATGGAAGGGGCCAAAATATGAAGGAGTGAGTATGAGACATTATGACCAGCAGTGCGTGTGAGCCTTGTGGAAATGAACGTCTAACCAGGGAACGAGTGGATGGGATCAAACTTGAAGCAGAGGCCATCTCCGGGCAGTTTAGTTTGAGAGTGGTGATCCAACTATTGGGGAAGAGATGCGTAGAGATCCTTGGCTCTACTGCAGGCAATAGGTAGTACATGTGTCATCACTGAGAGGTCATGGCAATGGCAAAGGCAAACAAATAAATACACCCAGGAACTCTTTGTTCAATGAAAAAGAGCTGCCAGGTGTTGCACCAACGATACTCTGCAGTTAGGTGAGCGCTCTACAACTGCAGCTACCAGGGCAACTCAACGACACTCTGCAGTCTAGGCGAGCGCTCTACAACTGAGCTACCAGGGCAACTCAAACGACACTCTGCAGTCTAGGCGAGCGCTCTACCAACTGAGCTACATGCAACTCAACGACACTCTGCAGTCTAGGCGAGCGCTTCCAACTGAGCTACCAGGGCAATCAACGCACTCTGCAGTCTAGGCAGCGCTCACAACTGACGCTACCAGGGCAACTCAGCTGGTAGGGTCAAATCTACAACATAACACAATACACAAGGCAACCTCAAGCAACATATATAACGCTATGGTACAGTACATACAGGACAGTAGAGAATGGACCTACTATAAGAGGAGGGAGTTAGATATTATTATACCATCATGTTGGTGCGTGGCAGTAGGAAGAGGGAGAGGATCCACACACCAACTGTGGGCGGCTGGGACTCCTGTAAATTAGGAAAAGTTGTGGTTCACTTTCAAGTCTGTGCATTTATAAGCACACAGTAATGTATAGTGGCAGCTCTCTGGGGAGAAACAGGTCACAAAATCCTATCTCACTAACTCAGTAAAATTTCCTGCTACACTGTAACTGTACACGTACGTACCTCTGCTGCTTCTGCTGCAGCTGCTACTGGAGGTGGTGTGGTGGAGGTTGATCGTCTCCAACTTCCACAGTCCCATCTATCTAGTCCTTCACGGCTACATGCCATCTCCTGATCACCACCCGCTCCCATCTCTCTTCTCCCTCTCAGCCACTGCTGTATCATCCTCCTCCTCCTCCTCCGTCCACATCGTCCACCTCTTCCTCTGCTCTGCGATGGTCATCTGGTTCCTCTATAATACATCAGCACCAGATACACATCACTCTCTTACCACTGCATATACAAACACTGGAACCTCTGTGAAAAAGGGCACTCCACTTAAAGCCAACACCTCTTCTTATAAAAGCCACTTGCTACACCCCATACATAGATATATATTATATATATCTGTGTGTGTGTATATAGCCTAATGCACACTTTGTGTTGTTGTGTATATACACCTTGAAAAATCTGATAAGGTAAACCTTGGGGCACATCAAGGTGTTCTCTTATACAGAGTATTCTTATTCTAGGTCTACATACACACAAGTGTGCATTAGGCTACACACATACACTGTAACATGTAGTTGTGTACTGAACCAGTAACTGGTACATACGTATGTGATACAGATGATCAGTGAGTGGGGGGGGTTCACCAGTCGATGAGGTGACAGCGACCTGAGTCCTTGGCCCCCAAAGGGAGTTATGGCCACCTCGAAATCGTCCACCTTCTCCGCCATAGTAATTGACACCGAACACACGTAGGACTTGTGTTAGGACACCCTAAGGTAACAATAGCCACCGTAGATAATGTAGGAGATCCAGTTGAGTCCAACAAACCAGTATTAGGAAAACCGGGCAAAAAGACGAGCGAAAAAAGAGAGAATAAGAGAGGGCGTCGCCGCAAGTGTTGTGTTCATACGTGTCGGGATGGGTGAATTAATGCCCAAACTAAATCAGCCAGCAGACGTTTTATTTGGTGGGTGGTGATTTTGAACTCCGTGATTATATCAAGGCCATTATGCGAGTGTCTGTGTGCTCTAAAAGAAAACTTTTCCCATCCACAGCTGACTGAGACAACCCCATGGGAGTATTGTGCAATTGAATGTGGTATAAATATGGTGATTTGGTGAACTCACAAAATTCTCTGGACACAGGAACCTCCTCCAGGTCTGGCTTACATTCGAGCGTGCTCCGTATTGAGCTCAAGAGGGACCAAGATTTAGAGATTTTGGTCCCTTGAGAGGCAATGCCTAAGTGCACACATTTATTCCTACCCAAATTGCTTTGCAGTAGGTGACCGTCTCTATCAGGGTTGCTACCTGCAGACAACCATTGACATATCAAAATAAAAGAGGGAAAATCAACCAAACAGAAATGTTAAGGAACGCTTCTGACGAGAGGCAATTGGGGAATAAGAAACTTTAACTTTTTGTGGACTTATTGCTCCTTAAATCTATCAAGAGCATGGATGGACACGATCGCCCAGAAATAGTCGAGGAGTTCAGTTGACCGACAACGAAAACGGTATCAAATTCCTACTGTATATACAGTAGGAATGGAATATTCATTACCACGACATTCAACGGAAATCACGATGGACATTCGCAAGTGACAAGTGGTATTCTTCACTCCCTACACTTACGACCGCCCGTTTGATAAGACCGAACAATAATCCCCGCCAGAAAAAATAACCCTCCTTCTCTCCTCCTCTCTCCACTCCCCTCTCTCCTCCTCCCTAACCAAGGAAAATGGAGACTCATCCAGAGAGGGAGGGAGGGAGGGGCAAGTCCCTGCGGCTGCATGGCGACCAGCCACTCCCGGTAGAGGAATGGTTCCCTCCTCCAGCAGTTCCCTCTGTCCTCTTGTGGAAACGGCCCCGATGTGGCTGTACATGACACGCAGTCATACATACATGCTCGTGTACTATGTAACTAGCAGTCAATATTTCCGACATGATGACAAACCAGTCAATCTGCTCTAACATAAGTCTTGAAGACAAAAGGAAGGACAGCACACATATGCAGTCAGCGTACTAGCTCTCATCCATACATAAGGTATGATGTCAGACTGACAAATGCCTGTCGCATTAAGGTATGGAGCCAACAGGACCAAAACCGCAGTTTAAGCTGGGACACATATAGCAGAGAGTGCGGCTCCATTACACACACGTATGCTGAGCCAAACACAGGACTGCATGTATAGATGATGTGCTAAATGAAAGAGAAGTCAAGTAGTCTTTGTTCTTTTCGTGGTCTTTTCTTTTTTACTTTTTGTTCTTCTTAAAAATAACCAGGACTCAGAGTCTAAATGTCATGACGGTGGTGTGGTGTGTAGGGTCTGAGTTCAGCCGGCATCTGTCAGGAATTTTATGCCAGATTACGCATTGTGTTTGCTACCCATCACTCATATCACAGAGATGTGGCACATAGACACCCTGAGGAAACTAAAAAACTGAGTCCAGAGATGTATGCTACATTTTGTTAACTAGTGTTCTTTCCGTCATTGTTACACTAGGTGCATGCCTAATACAACAGCAGGACCATGTATACGACAGAAGGATACAATCCATGGCTGTGCTGAGAAGACCAAAAACACAGTCCCAGGCACAGTGTCAGACTGTCTGCGTCTGGCTATCTGTGAACACACATGATCTATGTGAGTAGCTGTACTGCTGTAGAGTGATGGGTCATCGTAACCTGTACTCGAGCTCTTCAATAGGAAGACACAGAGAAGCACCGATCATGGCGGTGTGAGCGAGTGTGTGTGTTGGTGGTGGTAAATATAGAGGTCAGTGACAGAGAGAGGAAGGGAGAAGGGAAAACTGACCTTGTACATGTAGCCACATCTCATAGTCTTTGGAGCGATCTCCTCACGAGCCTCAGCAGGCACCTCATGTGGCCAGCCAGGGGAGGATACTGCATGTGACATCGGCCAGCACATTACTGAGCACATGCCTACTATCACTACAGTGACATCTTCCCATCAGAACCAGATCGTCACCACCAACCAGCTGAACGACCTTACGAGACACTGAGTGTGCAGTGCGATCAGTACCCTATTATATTGGAAAAGGGCAGCCTCCACTTCGTACTTTTAGCGAGAACGTAGCGAAGGACAGCGAACCAACATCCTGGTAGATGTACTGTTGAGCTGTCTATCACGAGGTGCAGATGGCATAGTACATATTATATTGGAAAAAGGGCAGCTCCAACTTTCCGTACTTTTAGCGAGCAAGTAGGAGAAGGACAGCCAAACCAACCATCCTGAATACTTGACTATCACTGGAGTGTGCAGTGGGCACTATGTACAACATCTTAATTATTGGTGGAAAAAGGGTCCAGCTCACAACTTCTCGTACTTTTATTTTTGAGCGAGAAAGTCAGGGAGAAGGACCGGCCACCACCATCCTGATACTTGACTGACTATCACTGCACTGGAGTGTGCAGGCGAAAGTACATTATTGATTCTTGGGAAGAAGGCAGACTCCAACTTTCGTACTTTAGCGAGAAGTAGGGAGAAGGACAGCCAACCAACCATCCTGAATACTTTGACTATCACTGGATGTGCCGAGCAGTTACATAGTCATGGAAAAGAGGCAGCCTCCAACTTTCGGACTATAGCTAGCACGAAAACGAATACCGAGGAGAGAGACGACAGGCCACCAACCATCCTGAATACTTAGACTATCACTGGAGGTGCAGTGCGTCAGAGTACATATAATATGGAAAAGAAAAGCAGCAAGCATCCAACTTCGTCCCCATACTTTTAGCGAGAAGTAGGGAGAAGACAGGCGAACAACAGTACCTGAAATATTGGATCACTGGAGTGTGAATTGCGTATAGTTAAAGATTTTATTATTGGAAAAAGTGCAGCTCTCAACTTTCGACTTTTCGGAAAGTAGAGAGAGGACAGGGCCAACAACCATAATGATATTGACTGGACACGTTGCGAACATTATTTATTGGAAGAAGGGGAGCTCCAACTTTTCGTACTTTAAGAAGAGAAAGTAGGAGAAGGATAGGCTAACAACCATCATGAATACTTTTGAATATAATGTGCGATAGTACATATGATTGGAAAAAGGGCAGCTCCAACTTTCGTAATTTTAGCGATAAGTTGGGAGAAGGATAGGCAAACCAACATCATGAATACTTTTGATATTAACTGGAGTGTGCGGTGAGGATGAGTTACATATTAATTATTGGAAAGGCGTTCTCCAACTTTCTTACTTTTTAGCTGAGAAAGTGGGAGAAGATAGTCCAACCAACCATCCTGATGACCTTTACTATCACTGGAGTGTGCAGTGCGTATAGTACACATTTATTATTGGAAAAAGGGCAGCTCCAACTTTCGTACTTTTAGCGAGAAAGTAGGGAGAAGGACAGGCCAACCAACCATCCTGAATACTTTGACTATCACTGGAGTGTGCAGTGCGAATAGTACATATTAATTATTGGAAAAAGGGCAGCTCCAACTTTCGTACTTTTAGCGAGAAAGTAGGGAGAAGGACAGGCCAACCAACCATCCTGAATACTTTGACTATCACTGGAGTGTGCAGTGCGTATAGTACACATTTATTATTGGAAAAAGGGCAGCTCCAACTTTCGTACTTTTAACGAGAAAGTAGAGAGAAGGACAGGCCGAACCAACCATCCTGAATACTTTGACTATCACTGGAGTGTGCAGTGCGAATTAATTATTGGAAAAAGGGCAGCTCCAACTTTCGTACTTTTAGCGAGAAAGTAGGGAGAAGGACAGCCCAACCAACCATCCTGAATACTTTGACTATCACTGGAGTGTGCAGTGCGAATTAATTATTGGAAAAAGGGCAGCTCCAACTTTCGTACTTTTAGCGAGAAAGTAGGGAGAAGGACAGCCGAACCAACCATCCTGAATAACTTTGACTATCACTGGAGTGTGCAGTGCGTATAGTGCACATTAATTATTGGAAAAAGGGCAGCTCCAACTTTCGTACTTTTAGCGAGAAAGTAGGGAGAAGGACAGCCTAACCAACCATCCTGAATACTTTGACTATTACTGGAGTGTGCAGTGCGAATAGTACATATTAATTATTGGAAAAAGAGCAGCTCCAACTTTCGTACTTTTAGCGAGAAAGTAGGGAGAAGGACAGCCCAACCAACCATCCTGAATAATTATAGTTTGAGGGTGCAGTGAAAATAAGTAACAAGAAGTGGCCTACAATCGTACTTTTAGCAAGCAAGTGGGGGAAAGGACAGTTCAACCAACAATTGACTCTATATACATAGCAGTGCCAACCCTATTGGAAGTGACGGTGTAAAATTCAGCTAGGTACGTGCCCTAAACGGTTTCAGCAAGCAAGTGGGAGGAAAGACAGACAAAGCAATAATTCTGAATTATATCACTATATCCGGAGTGCTCAGTGTGAATACAAGTGTAGAATGTCTGCAAATCCACAAGTAAAAAAGCTGACAAATGCTTCAAAGACACCTGCACAGACACCCTTTCAAACCAAACTGACATCACTTTTGTCATCGAATGCACAAAGGTCGCATACATACATACATATGTGAGTGGTGGATAAAACGTAGTTCGGATAAGCAAAGATGCACTCGTATTATTATCGTTATGCGAGGAGACTGACCAGCATAGGCAACAATGAGGAGAGGTTGTTTCCCCGCATCCTCGTGCTCAACCAGCTTCTTCTCCAGAACCGATATGTCCTGCAACAAACGAAATACTGCAATTTGAAGGGAATGTGTCAGTACATAAGGGTTAAATTTAGAAATGTTACACAGTGCAAGAATTCAATTAAGTTTCTATTTTAAGTAACAGCTTCTAAATTTATCCCTTATATACTGCCACACTCCCATTAATCTACATGACGTTGACATACAAACAAAACATGCAGCAGTTCGAAGCTGTCACACTCTACAGACTGCTTGTGTTTGTTCACCAAAAATATGCTGCCTTCATTTAGGGTATAAATACACACACACACACACACACACACAAAATTAATTGTTCTGTGGAAATGGCGTCATTTGACTGCATTTAAGTATTGATGGGTACTGCATATAGCTTACCATCACACTAGGAAATCCCCTGTCATTACCACAAGGAACTGCACACAGGGAATTAGTATATATCAATTAATGATCATTACTCAGTAATACTTAGAACACACTATGAACACATAATTTCCATTACCTTCACTCGTGTATGCTTGTTGTCAATATTTGGTCAGGTTTGGCACAAATCAGATTGATTTGAGAATTTTCAGCGTATGGCAAAGTGCAATACATACTATAGACATTGGTGCAGTATGTGTGGTGAGCATCAGATAGAGCTAATAGAACATCTCCACCACAATGGTCAGAGGTGTGTAACATATCATCCTTTTGCTCAAGTATTACTATAATAAGTTAAATTTAAAGTATTATACACTTAAGTGCTTAGTTCACAACTAGTCTATAATACTAGCAACTCACCAACACAGACAGTAGATAGAGGTAGACCAAGCTGTAGGGGATAAAATTGTGTTATGGTCAAAAATAAAATACGGTACGAGTCAACACCCTATGTTACTCATACCAACCTGTATCCTGAACCTTAGAGCTATCATTCTCTACCTCACTTTACTTCACCCCAAAAAACGGTTGACAGGTTTTTGAAGGTATATAGTACAGATTGAAAGTGAAAGAGAGAGAGAATACTTACCCTGGCACAGATGTGGAGACAGTCTATTGGCAGACCAGAGTCTCCCACATAGATCACTGGAGGCCTACACCAACAGATAGGTAAAATCACACAATGGCTCTCGCACATAACACACACACATCGAAGATACATACAATATGTGGCTCAGATCAGGTGCGTGTGTGCATCAGCCATAATGCGTGAACCTGAATTATTGTTACGTACATCCGTTTTATGCTGTGCTCCCAATGAAAAAGGTATGAGAGTAGAAACAAGTGCAGTGTCAGTACAACGTGCAAGTTCATCGTGAGTAAAATTACTCCCAAATACATGTAATTGGCAGTTGGCAGTAGCAAGAAGGTCAATTAGTAATGTGTTTATCACCTGTCACTGGTGGCTGCTACTCCATCCACTGAGTACCTGTGGTAGGTCCTGCATAGAGCCATCTGCACAGCTACGTATACAGATAATACACAGCCAGTGAAACAAATCATCAACACACACAAGATTGTTAAAATATTGTCACAGTCGTCTTGTCTGCGTTGCTCCAAAAGTAAAGCTCAAAACAACATTGGACTTGCACCTGACTGTGGCACTGACACAAGCAAGGGTCAAATTTGAGAACCAGTATACTGTAAGAGATTATACACACTATACACACATATACATACATACGTGGAAAAACCACATAGGGAGACCACATAGGGAGGGTTGAGGTTTTGACTGGGGTGGAGGAGGTAGGATTACTGAAAAGAAAACAGAGAGCTTACCTCTGAAGATTCCATCTTTATAGTTGTCATGATAGAGAGCTGTCAGTTGCTTCGAACGCAGTCTAAGATGTACAGAGAGTGTGCAGACAGATACAACATACGATGTCTTGTACACTAATTCCATTACACAGCCAGTCATTGCACAAGCATGGTACGTACGCATGTATGACGGTAACGGGGAACAACATTTGCAGTTGGCGGGAAACAAGAAAACTCACAGATTGCCTGTTTAATAATTGGATACTGTGGAAGTCTATCAACTTCAAGCAATTAGCAAATGTTTTCATCTAACATCCAACCTAATGCACTGCAGTACAACACATCCGTAGCCTATAGCTATTATGTGCTCACTTCATCATGTCGAGAATCCAGCGAGTTGTCTGCTGACTCAGGGCTCGTCCTATCCTGTCCACCTCCTTGCTGTCCAGGGAGACATGGAGATAGGAGGCTAGACCTCGAGCCAGCACTGATAGATGAGTTCCTCCTGCACGCAGTGACGTCTTGGACTAGAGTAGCAGAGGTAAAGGTATGTGTGAGTGAGTAAATAATACGGAAGACCCTACACTTCTGTGGTATGGTTTACAAAGTTTGAACATGATCCTATTTAATATCCCTTTCAAACGTAAAAGTGCACAAAGCATATAATATACGCACAGAGTACCAAGGCAGCAATAATACTGAAGAACAGCATGCAGTTTATTCAATCAAGTGGCAAACCTCTCTGTCAGTTTCACGACCTGTCGCAGTCTGTCCAGCACAACCCCCAAGTCCTGGGAACTGAAACAACAGACACAACCGCAGCATATCACATTACGTTAGGTCTGACTTCCCAACACGACTTACCCAGCAATGATGTCATCTGGAATTGGAAATCTACACCCGTAGGTCAAGGAAGATTCCAATTATCCACTTAGTGCGAACATGCTAGTGTGGTGCAATTTACAGCACGGCCATTTTCATACAGAGAACACGGTCCAAACAAAAGCAGGAAGGATTGACTGAGCTCATCTTCAATTCTCAGTACATCCACATGTCTTTTACACGTCAAACACAATCCTTTACAACCCAGGAATTTTAAACCCAATATTCTCAAATTCCTACAGGCTTTCTTAGTGATGCACTTCAGGCTGCTCTGTCTAACCAAGGCACTGCATTGCTCGGACAACAGAAGTGAAGGTGTCCTTATTCTAAATTGCCTGTTTTTGGAGGAAGAAAAAGGTGTCCTTATTAGAGAGGTGTCCTCGTTAAAGATGTATGGTAGTAGAAAGGTTCTACTCCAGCAAGACAAACCACTCTACACAAAACTTTGCACGGTGGTAGGCTCTAATAAGAAACAACACAAGGATACGCATCTTCGCTGGTGGTTGGTTGCAGCAGAGACTCCAGCCACTTCTGAACAGTTGCGTTCAGCTCCTGCGTCACACGAGGATCACATATGATTGTATGCACATTCCTACATGCTACGTTGCTAGCTAAAAGGCCAAAAGCTCGTTTCACGGAACGTTGAATGAGTATAGGATATGGAAATTAACAGATCAGTATGGATTACGGATACATAATGCAACTTACAGCTTGATCCATGAACAGAGAGACTAGAGAGAACTGGATCTACACAGTAAAACCACCCTGCCTGAAAAGAAAGTAACGCGCATGCGCGTACACGTTGCATCCGCCCGGAAGTCAAGAAGTGGGGCGTGTCGGTTGATGAATTCCACAACAAAGGTGTGGGAAACGAGCAAGGTCTCTCACACTCTCTGCATCCTTCACACTGGTGAGGGTCTGCGTTCATATAGCAACGCAGCAGTACACGTACAGTTCTTGGCGAGGAGAGAACTGCCTAGCATCCAGGTGAGCTGAGCTGTAGGTGGCCACCAGCTAGCTACGGTGTGTACGTTCACATTGTGTTGAGCTATACAGCCCTACCTAGTTTCTATCAACCTGCCAGTATTATGTGTCCGCGGGTTTCATGTCTTTGTTTGAAGGAACAGCCAGGAGATTCTGTTTGCAGGTGTTGTCCGTTCATACTTCTCATCATTCTGTTTCCTTCTTATACAGTGACCAATATGGAGGCACTGCAGCTGGAAGAAGAGCTGCTCCCAGTAGGGACCACACCGGTCCACATCGCGGTCAACAGTGGTCAGATTGGAGCCCTGCGGAACCTGCTGGATGGGGACCGCTCCCTCGTGGACCAACCCGACCAATTTGGCCACTCTCCTCTGGACAAAGCCCTGAAGAACTGCAGACTGGAAGCAGCCAGTGTACTGATACAGTACGGTGCAAACCTTAATACTCCCTATGGGACCGACCCCCAGCAAACACTGGCTCAGGTACTGATATCAAACCCAGCCTTTGTATCACTGCTACACAGTGTACTTGCCTCCAACACTGCACTTGACTTAAACTTAAGCTCTCTTATACCTCCACTTGCCTACGACGGCAGTGTGGACATGCTTGAAGCAGTCTTGAGTAGACCGAATGTGAACGTGGACTATAGAGACCACCTCAAATGCACAGGTCTTCACTATGCCTCCAGTAGAGGGCTCTTGAAAGTAGTGAGACTGCTTTTAGCAAGTGGAGCAAACAGACTTTTAAAGACCTTGGTGGGTATTACTGCCCTACACCTTGCATGCAGTGCGGGACACCTGCAAGTTGTAGCAGCCATTCTAGAAGAGAATCTGGGCTCCGTAAGCCAAAAGGATTTGCTAGCATCAAAAAATAGCGCCCTGGACACGCCAATCGTGTGTGCGTTCAGACACTACCATCTTGAGGTAGTTCAATACATACTTTCCAGCCACATAGAGCAGCTAGACTTGGAGGAAATGCTGCCCAATGGCCACAGACTCCCAGGTTTCTGCTTCTACCATAGATACTGGACCTCACCTTCCCTGATTAGGTCTCCATATCTCTACTCCACCCTCCCATGTCTCAGTGTGGAGGAGAGCCAATGGGCACTGCATGAGAGTGTCCACACAGACAACCCTGGAGGTGTGAGGGAGGCACTAGAGTATGGAGCCAGTGTGGAGTGCCTAGACTACATGCTCCAGACTCCTCTCATGCTCGCTGCAAAACTAGGCTCGGTGGACGTGTGCAAATGTCTGGTTGAGAATGGTGCCGATCCGAATGTTGTTGATTTGTCTGGCAAGACAGCACTTGTGTATGCATATGAACACGGAAAGCATGAGGTTGTAGAGTACTTGCTCTCTCAGCCTACCTGTACCTGTCATTGCCTTGACCCGCTCTCTCTCATTAGCCCCATAGCCACCGTCGATATGCTGGCTGTACTGGTATCTTATCTCGAAGAAAGGAAGGCAAGTGAGTCGGCAAGCAGTAGTGGTGACTGGTTTGCTTGGTTAGCTCTTGCTGTACCCACTGCTCCGATCAGTCTCTTCCAGGCTCTTGTCAATGCCGTGGCACCAACTGACTGGCTCCAGCAGATGTGCTCTAACATTGGAGCCTCTGTATCCAATACAGCTGAACCACAAGTCACCCACAGGGTAGCTAAACACCCGGTACTTCCAGCCTATGTCCAGGAGGATATAGTCGGAGATTCACACAAGCCCCGGCCAAAACTGGTCCGCTCCTTCAGTCGACCTAGAAAGTGGTACTTTGCCCGGGCACCACCTTCCACGGCAAAGGAGTGGAAATTCAAGACAATCCCTCAGCCCAAGAAGCCTCCCATGACTCCAGGGAAGCATAGGGTTATGGTATATAAGTATAGAGTCTCACCACCCAATAAGCCTATCCTACCTCTGGGGGAAGACAGGTGTATGCTTGGCAGAGCTAGGGTGTCCTGGCAAGAACCCAGCTCACTCATACACTCTGCTGCCCTTCACAACCTGGACGTGTTCAAGTTCATCTTGGCCAGCTGCGATGACACGGAGCTACAGGAGAAGGTCCTGCTCTTGAGGGACGAGGCAGGTCGGACGGCCCTGGAGCTGGCTCTGCGGCAGTTTCCCGTCATATCTGATGCCTGCTCCTCACTTGGGCTGAGGGAGACTGGAGGTCTGGATGAATACCTCACTCGAGAGTTCCCACTCCCCGAGTCACTGCTGTTTGAAGAGGCTCTCCTTCACTACGTCTGTGTTGGTATGTTGTTTTTCTTCCTTATGTACTGCATGTTGTGTGCAAGCGAGAGTGTGACCGCTGTAGCTATAGCTACACACAGGACTTATACAGACACAAGGGGTAGAGATTTTAGACTGGGTTAGAGAGACGAAGGATGTTCGTGCATGGTATTTGAACAAGACCGCAGGCAGGATGGACATTGTATGCACATGTGTGGAAATACACATAGTGTAAGATGTTCCCTCTTGCCAGAAGGCCTGGAAAAAAGGCTAATACTTGTGCACTAGAGTAACAGGCACTTTCTCTCATTTACAGGCAAACAGGTACTTTCCTCTCAGAATGATAAAGTGTACGAGTCTCCTTTACAAGCCTGGTGAGTCGTGATCTCATCTTCCATTTTACCTGTATATACATTGGTCAGTCTTCCATTGTACACACCTGTAGTCAGTAACCATTCTTGTATAGAGAAACCAATATTATGTAGCCATGCTTGCACCACGCACTTATCTGTATGCACAATAAGTATGTGTGTTCATGTATGTATGCTGCTATGATGGTGAATTGTTCATGCACAGGCCTCTGTGGTACCTCCAGCTACAAGTCAACGCCTTTTGTCTGAACATTGAATCAGGTATGACCTGTCTGGTAATTACTGTATGCCGTGCATCGAACTTCTGTGATTGGCTGAATCTGATATGACACAGGCTTTTTTCAACTGACTGATTTGGAAGACAGAAAGAGGCTACTGGACCTTCTTCTAGTCAACCAATAGTAAGTTGATGAGGGTACCTGTAGGGGGTATGAATTCCTTCTCCACTGTGTAAATGCAAGTAAGTGCTCTGGTGTTCAGGATGTTCAAAACCTCTGTTGCCTAGTTTAGTATGCGTCTCAATCAAATGTGATACTGTTAATCATGCACACATTGTTTTACTGTGGTACAAAGTTTGTGCTAATGTGTGTGTCTCATCTCCCTCAGTTTTCCTGCTGGTTGGAGTGGAGATGAAAGAGAATGCCCTCCACCACTGTTTGCAGCGGTCCAGCACAGCTCTAGCTGGGCCATCGAGCCTCTCCTCTCACACGGAGCTGATCCTGCAACCCATCACAGAGGAAGGTGAGAGGTCAAAAACATACACATATAGGTCCATGCATGCACATATATAATAATACAAGAGACCAAAAAGCTAGTGTGTAAATTTTCCTAGGTCTTAGCTTCCATACATTAAAATTTTGCACCTTGGAAGTTTAGTGACACGGTACAGTATGTACATATTGCCACACTTAGCATGATTACCCGAGGCCCGTAACTAACCTGTGCAGTTCACATTGCTGCCTGTATCGTCCACTCCAGGCTTTCCATTGAGGTAGCAGCCAAGCATGGCCAAGTAGAGACAGTGCAAAGGCTCCTGGAACGTGGCCTGGACTCATTCCTGGCCCTCTCTGACCGCCAGCAGCTGTTTTCCTCCCTCTCCTCCTCCCTGGAGTGCCTCATCAGGTGTGGGTTAATTGAGGGTGCAGTTAATCTTCTACAGGGTCTCAGCCTTGGCCAATATCTGTGGTCCTCAGCCCATGCGCCGGCCTTCCTCTTTACGCTGCTCAGGCTCGGTTTGAAGGCTCGGAGGTATACAAAGTAATTCTGAGGGATTTTATCAATTTTCTGGGCTCAGAGATGAGTGACTTGGGGAGTGAGTCTATTGCTAAGTCAATAGTGATGAGCAATATGAAGCTGATTAGGCAGCGGACGTTTTTTGCCAAAGCTTCCAGTGACACGAAGAATCTTTTAACCCTCTTGAATCATAGACCACTGAAACACACTCTGGGTGAGTTGCTTCGATCATTTTGTGGCGACGGAAATAATCGCATGGTTCGTTTCATTCTGGAAGGGAGTAGCCCCGAGGCTGCAGCTGGGATCATCAATAAACCAGATCTCGTGGGGTATACTCCTCTGTTTTACGCTTCATGTGGGGGTCACGTGGACACTGTTAGGTTGCTGATTCATCATGGGGCTTGTGTAACCAGTGTCCCAAGCCAACGGGGTGGTCTCCAGGACAGTGCAGGGTTGCTGCCTGGTCATGGGATTCACGTGGCTAATTCCATAAGCCACCCCCCTATAGTTGGAGCTCTAGTGTACCTAGCACTGGCTCCCCACAACAATGACGGTAAAAGATACAATGCCCTTGGTAAAATATACGAATCTTTTTACCCCGAGAGAGGAGATATTTTGAGTAATTACAGGGGCCTTGTCCCCAGACGCACCTTCCCTATGCTGACTAAGGACCCAAAGAGGGCAAGAGAACTGGTCGCTCTCCTACTGCCACCCCCCAATGAGAGCATCTTAGAGTACAGCTTTGATTTTCCCACTGTCAACCACCGAGTGCTCACGGCGCTCACCCTCATTTCTGCTGTCAGGGACGTCTCTGTTGTGGAGCCGCTCCTTGAGAGGGTTTTGAAGGAGCTGCCTGCCTCTTGTGGTAGTCAGTTGAGTCTGCGAGAGGCACTGTTTCTTGCACCAGAGGCCGATGGTAGCAAAGCCTCCCAACTCTTTGAAAGTTTCTTGGTTCGATTTGTACGCGACGCGCTGCCCTTAACCAACGCTGAGATTTTCGAATCAGCTAGAAAGGGCTACTGGGGTGTAGTTGAGACTGCAGTGTCAAGCAATAAGCTTATTAAAACGTGCCTACTGACAGTCAAGATTGGCAAGGATGAATTGTTCTGTAGATCGCTGAAAGTGGCACATTCAGACGAAGCGTTTGGCAAGAATGAATTGTTCCGTGAATCGCTGAATGTGGCACAGTCAGACGAAGCGTTTATTAGAACGTGCCTACTGGCAGTCAAGATTGGTAAGAATGAATTGTTCTGTGGATTGCTGAAAGTGGCACATTCAAAGGAGCTGCGTTTGTCTACATGGTGGTCTAAGTTGGCAGTAGCTGCAGTCAGATCTAACACTCCAGAGGCAGTGAGTGGGCTGCTCTCTGTGGGTTGTGACATTACCAGTCTCCTTCGAGCTGCTGTGAGGCTGGGCAGCCACAAGGCCCTTAGCCTCATCGTAGAATCTTCATCTGTGGCACAAGTGGCAGAGAATTTTTCAGAGATGGTCAGGCTAGCTGCCAAGTGCAACCAGTCCAACATCGTCCAATATCTGTTTGACTTGTACCGAAACAATGAAGAGATTGTGATTGAGTCACAGTGTACTAGAGATGTGGCGTTCTGGGTTCTAGTGTTGGGGGGCAGTGTCAGTCATGGCCACCAGTCCCTAGCTCTGCAGGCCACTGCCCACATCTCTGAGGGCGAGATGAAGTCAATAGCAGCACAGCATGACCACTTTGGCAGCATCCTCTACTATGGTTGCTACTGGGGTCTGACCGATCTTTTGTCTTGTCTTCCATACTCTGAGAGTGACCTACTGAAGAGAGATGGAGAGAGAGAATCGCCTTTGGAAGCCGCCGTAGCCAATGGCAGGCTGGGCCACATCCCTTCCCCTCCCGCTCGGTTTATTATCTGGGATGACATCCAGTCATGGTTTAAAGAGGGTCCACTTGGAGCTCTGAGCTCATGTGAATCTCCCTTCTTTCCACACCTGATAACCGGGTTCTTTCACCAGATGCTCAGTACAAAACCCTCCACCGCTGTCCAACAGTACAGATCTGTCCATGAATGCCAGGAAAATTTAATTTTGAGACCAAATGCCTTTCACTCCTTTGAGACCTTTACCGGAAACTTCTGTGCGCCTCTGCTTGTGTATGCAGTTAGATCTGGCTCCCAGGAGCTGGATATACCGTATGGTGCTGCACTGAAAGAGGACAGCACTGTCCTGGAGCAGATCCTGCGTGTTCTGTTCAACTCTGGCCACATGACGGAGTGTTTCGAGCACTCCAGGGTAGGTGATGTTCATAGCGTTGCCAGATACGGCCAGACCTCTTCCCTGGACCTCCTACTACGCTGCGGAAAAGTGTTTGTGAATCGACTGACACGTGTGAATGATAAAAGCCAGAATGTTCTTCACAGTGCAGTGTTGAGTCAAGGCTACAATGTGGACAAACTGGACTTGCTTTTAGACCAATTTGGTCAATCGGCTCCCGCCATGTCCCTCGCTCTTGACGAGCAGGGGCATTCCCCCGTGTCGCTGGCTTTCTCTCTTGGCAAGTATGAGAGGGCCGATAGGCTACTGAAAGAGGCAGTCAAATCTAACTCTTTCAATGCAGAAGGTAACCCTCCAGTAAAGCAGTTAGTGAAAGTAGCTCACAAGGCTAACGGTTGGTTCCGTGCAATGATTGAATCAGGGAAAAGCTCCAGTGACGGAGACCCTAAGAGATTCAGCATGAGAGGTGCCCCTAGAGGAGCAATCTCGTTGTTCAAAAAGGCCGCCTACGAAGGCAATGATGGAGCAGTGAAAGCACTACTGGTTGCATCTACTGGGCTTGTCACTGCAGATAAATTTGCACTGGTCAGGGGACTTCTGAATAAAGCTGCACTCAATTTCCTTGCTACTTCCCCATCCTACATCCCTTTCCACATTCTGGAACACCCCGACAAACTTAGCCAGTTGTTGGGAAGAAGAGATTTCTCGGAAGCAGTGGTTTTTCTGATCCAACTAGTGGACGAGAGAAAGCTGCAAGTGACTCTTGATCTACGCAGACTATTCCTGGCTGGCTGCGTACTCCCAAGACTCCCCATTGTCAAACACTTGCTCTATAGAACACCTCCACTCCCCACTGAGCTCCTACAGAAAGGTGCGGAACATGCGTTCACTTTCGGTGCCCTAGAAATTGCAGCAGAGATTCTCTTTTCAACTGACTCTATCCTGAGTGCAGATCTCGTCTCTGGGTTGTCCCCTGTCGTTAGACAGATATTTCTTGCCCCCAGAGACTACCAGACCACAGTCGAAGACTTTTTTGAGTCAGTGGCTCACCCGGGAAAGGCCGGGCGTCTTCCTTTCTCAGAGCAATGGCTAGCACACGAGTGGTGTCCATATCAGCGACAGCTTGTGGAGAGAGCTACTCAAGCTCTGCCTGGCAGAGCCCCTCCCAATCCGTGGATGATTGGCGTAAATTGGAGGGACACCCCACACACAATAGAAGTCACGATCGACTGGGAGTCCTTTGCAGAGTGCTTGCTTCAGCCACCTCTCCCAGTACAACAGGAGAGCACCCCGATGCTGGTGGAGGCAGTTGTGTTCTCTTCCTCAGTCCTCGGTCAACTGTACCCAGCAGAAGATGGCTCACACTCGACCTATAACCTCTCAGATTTCTTTGAGCTCCACGAACCCCCAGAATGTGTGGTTATATCCTCAGTCAAGTGGCCTAGTCCTCCATTCTCAGAGGCCCGCACGCTTTGTCTCAGTTTCAGGGCACAGGATGGGGCGTTTGTGTTCCCTCCTGTTGTACAGAGAACAGGTGGAATAGGTGATGAGTCGTATTCGACTGACAGTGGCATGCACTCTTTGACTGACACCAGTGTAGACACAAAGGAGGACGAGGCCAATTCATCCATCTTTGGTGGGGATGGACTCCAAGACTCGTTGAAGTTCCACCAGAGAAGGCTGAGACGTGAGCACAAGATGAGATACGATGTACAAGTGGAAGTTGGTAGAATTGATCCCTCTTTCATCCTCTCGGCGTTTGAGCTCTGCTCTGAAGCAGTTGAACTATCTTCCTCCCCAACAGTAGCCTATGCCAGTTTCCACAGGTCTACCAGAGCCTGGAGGCTACCTGCTCCCCCACCAAGGAGACTCTTTGGTCATATTGGCATCAATGTTGACTCGACCGCAGAGCCGTCCTTGGTTGTTGTCACACTGGCTGACATGCTAGACTTTAGCATAGCTCTAGCCTCTGAAAATATCTCCTCTGGTACATCTGGCCATGGTACTGCTACTTCTACCCCTAGGTCAGCGTGCATTAAGTTCCCACCACATGAGGTGCTCTTACAGAAGACTGTGGAATGTTCTCTCACCAGAGAGGTCAAGCTACTGGGAGGGAAACTGGGGAGATTTGTGAGGATAGTGTTTGTGCCTCGACTCCAGCAGATCGTCAGATCAGGGCTAGAGTCAGACTCTGTACGTTTGCTACTGGAGGACTCAGGTGGCCACGCTACAGAGCTAGGTCTTGCCTCTGTGTCTCATTTTCTCCAGTTAAAATCCAACAAACTCATCAGAATTTTCCTTCTCGCTTTCTGTGACATGCTTCGGGCATACAGTCACAAACCCAGGGTGTTTTCAGACATCAGAACCCGCCTTCAGGAAGGCCTCAGTATCATCATCTGTGAAATGAGAGAGACAAGTATCACTGTATCTTCTCCAGGACTCACACTGACTGTCCATACAAGTGACCTTCACCAGCCAAAGAGCCAGAGAGCTCTAGTTAATCTCACCGACTCACTGCTGAGTCTATCACAAGAGAGTGCCCCAGGCAGTCACGATCTCAATGTAAAGACCTTACTTGGAGAAGTTCCGTGTCCGTTTCTGACACATGTTGATCTGAGGACTAGCGTCAACTTTCTGTACCCTCTAGTTGGATCAGCAGCGAGGCTCTTTGTCCAAATCATGGGCTATGGTGGAAACAGGCTCACTCTTCCACTCAAATACAATTGCAATCTCCACGTGTCCATTAGCTATCCGAGTGGAAAGGCCCTCTCTGCCAGTTCCTCAGATGATCCCTCCTGTCAGGCCGGAGCCTCGGCTGATCTGTTTGTCACCACATCACACGACGGGCAGTTTGAGGTGGTGTGGAGACCGACAGAGCAAGGCCTCCACACTGTACTCATCACTCTGAATGGAGTTGAGATACGGGAGTGTTTTAAAAGAGTCTACGTCGAAGAGAAGAGGAGTTGCTCCGGAAAGGGTGTGGTTTCAGCCGGTGAGCACCTGGTTTTTTGTTGCAGATCACGTCGGGTATGTGTGTCCGTTCACCAGCCGAAACTCCAGGGTTGTCCTCATTAGAGACACCGTAATTGAACCCTCTCCACTCCTGAAGGATTTCCCAGGATTTCAGACTTTCACCGGACCATCCACAACCCCCCATCCCTCCTCCCCCTCCTCCTCCACCTCCCCCTCTTTGCGTCCACCAGACCAGCTAAAGAGAGCGGTGTCATCAATGACGGAGCTGCACAATGGTGGTCCTGAACCACCCCCACCTCTGCTCCACCATCTCAGCATCACAGCAGCTTGTGGGGGCTCCAGGGCCTGGTCGCGCATCCCACTAGCCACGTCACAATACACACCACCAGTCAAGAAACTAAGACCTGTCAGAGAGCGCAAGGTAGAAAGCAGGTGACGCGAAGAAACTTATCAAAGTCAGTGAGAATCAAGAGAAAATCGAGAAGAAAGTCTGAGTCTAGAAAGACGAGTTGTGGGAGTGAGTATGACGTCACCTGTATGTCTCTGGGGTGTGGGATGTACAGAGTGTCCCTCCAGTTCACAAAGGCCGGCACCCAGAAGGTGTTTGCCTCGTGTCCTCTCTGCCAGTCAGTCATGAGGATCCACTGGCTGGAGGGAGTCTCCTTCTATCCCCAGCCTTTCTACGTGGTCCCCGGCCCATTCTCCCCTACCAACAGCACCGCTACTGACGCAAACAGTGGTACGTACGCTGTACCATTCACCTGTAGTACTGAACAGTAACATTATTAGGATGTTATACATTTTTATACACGCAAAAATATTTATGCAGAAAATGTGATTTCAGTGATTCGTGGATACTCGCATACATACAGAGTATTAGGATGTCATACAAAATGATTACTATGCTGATTCATGCATACTTACATAATGTGTAGGATAATTGTACCGTTTTCCCTCCACTGGTAAGTGGTGTCGTTTGCTGTATTGTCACCCACAGGCCAAAAGGTAAACTCCAGCATCGTCTACAAACCTGGCCCTCACAGCTTCTACATAGACTGTCGGGATTCTTACGGGAACTCGCACACTATGGGAGGGGCAATCAAGAGCGCAGTGATTGTAGGGGCAGGTCCACTTGATGTGGAGCCCCCAGTTTGTAGCCTGGCGGCAGTTACTGCCTCCAAAAGACTGGACAGCGAGTGTGAAATCAGCTATGTCGGTCAAGGGAGGTACCGACTCATGTGCACCCTACTCAGAGCCGGTTGCCACCCTCTTGTGGTAACGACTGGATGTGCCCCGGGGATAACGAAGCAATTAGTGATTGCCAGCTGTAGGGTTTCTGGAGATTCAGAAGTCTGGCCACAGCACTGTTGGCTCGATCCCACCAATGTGTACAAGGGCCTACCGTTTTCACCATGTACCTGCTACATTTACCTGTACGATCGATATTTCAACCCCTACTATTATGGCCGGGAAGTAGTCGTTAGTGTCTGCCTCGGTACTTATAGCCACCCAGTGTTTCTCCACACGACCTCGGTGCCAAATCGCTACATGTTTACATTTACACCCGAAGTCTTGTCCACGTGCAATCTCAAGGTCTCTATCAACCATGTGTTCATTGGTGACCCGCCAAAGACCTTTCACAGTCCTCCAGAGAGAGTCATTTGAGGGGAGGCTGGCCTGTTTCAGGGACGAGGTAGCCAGATCTCTCCAACGCTCTCTCTTCTTCATGAAACACATGATCAGAGTGAACCGCTCCGAGATCCTGGAGAGTGCTCTGGTGCACCGCGTGGCACTCAGACAGGGACAGATAGTGGTCAGCTTCGAGGGAGAGAGTGGGATCGATGTTGGAGGAATGTCACGGTATATTATGTATACAGTCACTTGAAGATACTAGTAATGTTAGGTACTGCTACACAACAAGATTTGACTAATGCATGTGTATGGCATTAAATAAAGTCAGAATGAAATGTTGATTCATCTTAGACTTGCAAAATCCTAGTTGGAGTTTAGAGGCCCATGTGCTCGCATTAGCAAAAGGTTCCTCATCCTGTGTATACGTTTACTTAATATATAGCTTTTCAGTTCCCTCTACGTAATATCTTTCTCAGAGAATATTTCCAGTTGCTGAGTCAGGAGCTGGTCAACCCACAATATGCTCTGTTCCACAGTAGCAATGGTCTCCACCGACCCAGCCCCCACTCGTCTGTCAACCCCTCCCACCTTAGCTATTTCACCTTCTGTGGGGAGGTCCTGGCCAGAATGCTGTGTGACAGTAAGTCTCCTCGTTTGCTACCTTAACAACAGGGGCACTCGTGTGTCAATAACGAGGTAGAAAGGCAATGCAAAGCAAAAAAAAGTCAACTACACCCAGGAGAACTAAGAAGAGCGGCCCTGGGTGTGATTTGAACCCACTGCACTCTGCAGTCTAGGCGAGCTCTAGGCCTAGAAAGCACTCTACCAACTGAGCTATAAGAGCAACTAAGCTGGTAGGGGTTCGAATCTTCAAGCCAATGACTGTCAGCTGTATATACTCAGTATGCAAATTTGACCAACTACAATGCTAGTTGTGATGTCTTGTTCTCTCCTCAGACTATCAGACGTGTGTGAGGTTCACTCCAGCAGTCTACAAGTTCCTGCTAGGAGGAGAGGAATGCACACTCTCTGACCTCAAGGCTGAGGACCCCATCCTCCTTGAGTATGATCAGTGCTTGTTACTCGTAGTAATGTTAAGTGGGTCGGTTGGTTTAACTTACGAGAAAGAGTGATCCATTCACTCTTGGCCAGCACAAGACATTCCCTTTTCAATATTATCGCACAATGTATTCTTGAAGATTGCTGTTAGTTCTAATTGTTCAACCATAATTACAGGGGCCTAATGGAGGTTGCCCGGTGCCAGAGTGAGGAGAGCCTGGGGCAGCTGGTGACCAATTTCACCACCACCTTCTCCCGGTTTGGATCCCTGGAGACTGTGGAGCTGGAGAGAGGAGGCCACATGAGGAGAGTCACTCTCAGGAACAGAGACAACTTCATACACAAGTTCTGCCACTGGCACCTCATTGGTATATACATACCTCCTACAATTTCTTTGAGGATTGCGTCGCTACTGTGTGCTGCACAAAAGGTTTCATGCCTCAAACGTTTGGTAATTGTGGCCAGCGCACACAGTTTCGCAAGTGATTACCAATAATAGCTGCCACCAAAGTTTTTTTCCTTTTCATGTCAGCTGCAGCTGTACCTGTCATTCTCCTTCACCCCTACATGCTTCATAAACTGTATACATGTCTGTATAATATGTGTTTGTGTCCTTCCAGGATGTATAAAGAGACAGCTGAGCTCTATGCTGGAGGGGTTCCAGTCCACCCTCCCTCCCCAGGCCAGGGAGGTGGCCAGGAGGTTCACCTGGCATGAGCTGGAGCTCCTCCTGTGTGGCCAGCCAGTCATCAGAGTGGCGTTCATCAGATCTCGAACCTTCTACGGCGGATACTCTGACAGTTCCAGGGAGATTGTGTGGCTGTGGCAGGTCATGGGGCAACTCTCTCAGGTAACCTGCATGATGCTTGAACAGTGCCCACTATAGCTACATGTATTCTGGCCAACACACAATGGCTCCACTTTCAATGTTCAACTTTTAACAAATCTCACAAAGGATAAAGTGCATTTCACTTGTAAATTCAGCTGATTATGAGTGTTTGCTCCATTGTATACCAACAGGAGGAGTTGTCTTGGTTCCTACAGTTCACCACTGGCTCAGGGCGTCTCCCTGTGGCCGACTCTGGCCAGTGGAAGTTGAAGATCTGCCGAGGATCACATGGTACATTATACGTCATAGGCATGGGCACCCAGGAGCAATGATAGCCGATTGTGGCCCTCTGAAACTCTGAATGTGGTTCTAAAAAATGGTTCTGTACTTTAGCTACAACTGTCTAGCTATGTGGTGTAACTACTGGGCAAAAGAATCTCAGTGGCTCCGAAAAATTTTAGTTAGCTAGCGGCTCTATGAAATTGTACTGGCGCGCCTGGTTTAACTGGAGTTTGCAGCTCAATCCTGCTTATCTTGGGAAAATAATGCTAATCACTTTCTCTTCTCCTTTTCTCTCTTCTCTGCCGTGTAGATGAGTCTCTTCTGCCGACTGCTGCCACTTGCTTCAACAGCCTCACACTTCCAAGGTACACAAGTCTGTCTATGCTGCAGCAAAAACTGAAGCAGGCCATCTCATTTGGACATCTTCACTTCTGCAATCACTGATGGATAATAATATCGGTTACTCGCGCTCTCCGCGCAAGCCCGCGCGTAATAATGAGCTGCGACTGCGATCTCGGCGTCGGTCGCGCGCCGGTACGTCCGTCTCTGCGCTGAAAAGGCGGAAGAACTTCAAGCGGGAACGGTCCCATTTTTACTCGACAGCCCTAGCTCTGGGCTGCATATATATACGACGGTAGGGGAGGAAACCTTGAGAATGCGCCCTGAAAACCCGCGCTTAGCCCACTCCGGTGATCGAGATAAAAATGGAGTCGTGTTTAGAGTCAGTTCCCTTTGGTCCGGGGAGGAAACGGTGGAGGGAAACCCTCCGGCACTAGTAACTACGCTCGAGGATGAAAGAAAGCCTACTGTGTCCGCACCAAGATCGGATCCCTTTTTGCACGATGTTACGCCCGTGGGAATTACTCCAGCACTGTATCAGGTGCCTTCGACTGGCCTTAGTCGCGAGGAATGGGAACGCGCCATAAAAGAAACCGTGGGGGTTGTCGAAAAATGTTGTGAGTCATTATTAGGGTATCAATCAAACCAAAGTTTTAATGTGCCCGAGTTTTTATCACCATTAACTAACGTTATGATGAACAACGGCCATGCCATAACTTTTCACTGCTACCATCGGCACTTAATGCAGTAGAAATGCAGTGAGCAGGTAGCAGTTTCTTTGAATCCTTTCTCCACTGTCTCCAGACTCTGCTGTTTGGTCTCTGGAATGAAAAACAGAACGAAACCTGCACCAGCCAGCGAGACAGCGGCAAACGTCCACATTGCAAACCAGAAAGTCACCAGCTTGACAAACTGTAGGTAGAAGCCCACTATGAGAGTTGCACTGACAAAGAAATAGAGCACTAGAACACCGACAGCCTTCCCTCGGACTGCGAGGGGTATGAACTCGGAAGCTAGCACCCAAGGCAGAGGGCCGAAACCGATGGAGTAGCCAAAATTGTAGATGATGAGTCCGACAATAGCCAGTGGTCCGAATGGCACAGAGCATTCACTGTCTGAGAGTTGCTCTCCAGAGGCAGTAGACCCTCCTGTAGATGTGTGATCACCGCATTTAGTAATGTGGAAATAGACCCCCAGCATTATCGCCCCAATAGCTGACAAGAGTCCACTGGAGATAAAGAGTGGCTTGCGGCCCAGTCGGTCGACTGCTAGTAGAGCAACCACCACACCAAACAGATTGGCTACTCCTGTGACATACGTGACTGTAGTTCGGGGATTACTAATGCCAGCGTCGACAAATATCTGCCCGGCAAACGCCGTGATTGCGTGAAATCCGCAAAACAGCTTGACTGAAATAACAACCACCACGTATAAGAAAGGAACGAGGGAGTTTCTCTTTAGCATGCTCCTCCACGGCTGTTTCTTGTTCGTTCTCGATTCAATCACAAGATGTTTTATCTCCTGGAACTCTTCTTCGTACTCTGAGCCTCTCAACCACTTTAAGACCTTCTTTGCCTCCTTCACGTATCCTCTAGACAGTAGGGACCTCGGGGTCTCTGGCGTCCATACCATGAGCACCTCAAACACTGCCACAATCCCTACCGCCACCAGTGATATGTGGTAGTAGTAGAAACCGTCGATTGAGCTGAGGGCAAAGGTGAGTGTTACTCCCACCATTGTCGACCCTGTCATTAGGATCCCAAAGAGACCTCTAAGACTAGATGATGATATCTCTCCTATATACACCTGTACAAAAGAAGTTGTGTGGGTCAGCTTCCATGCCAAATCTGTTGACACAACACTTGTTAGGTTTAATGGGTTTAATACAGTGGTTGCTCTTCCACTTTTGTCATTATGCACATCTAATGCCCATTTGACAATGCTAGACTATTGGCGGGTGCTTACCACCTCCAGATTATTTATTTGCTCAAAAAACCGGACACAAGCTGCATGTTTTCCTCAATCGAACAAACACTGCTGTTGGTAATCGACTTATTTGTGCAAGGTAGTGTGAAAATGCATTTTCCACGCAGTAGAATTGCTATTTCTGCTATGACATTAACCCCGACACACTGCATAATATACTCTTTTGTGGATTGCTTGGTGAGTGGGGAAAGATAAGTGGAGGTGAAGACTCACAGCGAATGCAGTGGAAGACCATCCCATACTCCCTCCAGAGATGAAGCGTCCCGTCTGGAGCAGGGATATGAAGGTGAATGCAGTTGAAGCAAAGTGAGCATAGCTGATCATGAGGTAGCCGATGACGTACAGGACACAGCTGAACTGAGGGAACATTTTCTTGTTACGGTGCGGGTGAAACTTCTTACAGAAAAAAGTGATTTGTCAGTCGTCGAGAGTTGAAAGTCTGGAGGGAGTCCCATTTCGTTCTCGGTGAGGTCCAGAGCCACCGGCGAAGGGATGGATATAGTGATGCCTGCGAGGAGCGTCGGGAGCGCCGCAATCACACAGCAGAGCAGTACCTTCCAGCTACACCCGTACTTTCTCTCGGACTTTGCCGTCACTGTGACGTCTTCGTGCAGGCTGTTGACCTGTATGGCCATGGTATAACATGGTAGTGCAAACTCTCGTACTCGTTCGCTGATTCAGCATTTTACCTGCGCATGCGCCAGTTTCTGAGCACCATGTAGGCGTGGCTCCACGAATCAGCTCGACATCTCATAGCTCTGTCAGCCCTAGTCTGGTCAGTTAGGTATGTCAGGAGCTAAGTTTACACCCGTGCTGGTTCACTGGCAGAGAAACGAAGAAGGAGATAAAGTGCAACTTCTGAATTCTACAGACAAAGATGCTGACGCTGACAGTCTATCGTCTGACCAAGACCCTAAAAGATCACAGCCTCGATCACAGCACTCACGAGATCATGCCTTGTTTAAGACCCCGACCATCGTCTACGTCATCTCTTTCTTCTCGATCATCGGCGGGTTCCTCTTCGGCTACGACACGGGCGTGATTGCAGGCGCACTGCTGGAATTGGACGAGGAATTCGGCCTGGACGCCACGCACAAAGAGCTTGTAGTCAGCGTCACGGTGGCTGCAGCGGCCCTGGGTGCGCTGGGCGGGGCCGGTCTCAACGAGAAGCTGGGCAGGAAGAGGTCCATTATGATTGCTTCGGCCATCTTCTTTGTTGGGGCGTTGATAATGGCAGGGGCTCCCCCAGCCGATTGGGGTGGACCATTGTACTTGCAGGCCGATTTGTTGTTGGCCTTGGCATAGGTAAGCAAATATTGTGCGTTAATATGGGAATCCACAAATTTACATTTTGATCATTCATCCGTGAAATTTGACTCAAATTTGTCAGTGTTCAAACAGTTTTTTATTCGTTGAGTCTCAGCTGCCTGACTGGGTTTACTAACTGCTCACAGGATTAGCCAGTATGACGGTGCCCATATACCTGGCCGAGTGTGCCCCTGTTCATTTGCGAGGCAGGCTGACGGTGGCAGACAACATGGCCATAACTGCGGGACAGTTTGTGGCTGCTGTCATTGACTATGGGTTCAGCTACATGGGGCAGGGCTGGAGGTATGTAATGTCTCTGAGTTAGCACGGCATTTGTAAAAGAGGATTTTTTAATCTGACACAAAAAACACTACACGATTTGAAACGCAGTTTTAGGTGGTATGTAAAATGCTTGACGCCAATTTACAGCTGTACCCCCTCCACATTCTAGGCCACACCTTATTTTCCTTTAAGGCACCACACACTCCAGGGTAGTTTGTTGGACTATCCTTTCCCCTACTTGCAATATAAATGTTAAGGCCACCCTATTTATTCCTTATTCCACAATCACTTCATAAAGTGCATGAAATTTAGGCTACTGCATAGTCAATGCCCCTAAGGACTGCACTCTTCAACTTCAAGGTTAATATTCATTATAATTGGTTGGACTGTCTTTCCTCCCACTTGCTTTCTAAAAGTACGAAAAGTTAGTTAGGCACCCCTCACTCACTCTTGAGGGTGCTGCACATGGCAGTTTTATAGTCAAGGGTGGTTGGTCATTCTCACCACATGCTTGCAGCTACTCCTGAGAATTATTTTGCACTGAACTCTCCAGCTATTTAGTTTGGACTCTCCTTTCTCCCATTCTGTACGAAAAGTTAGCCCACCAAATTTACCACTGTTATATACTTACTCCTGAGGATTATTTGCGCTGCACTCTCCAACCTTTGCCAAGGTATTGTGGATATTTGGTTGCACTGTTTTTTATCCCTCAGCCCTCAGTGTTGACTCAAAACCTCTATAGGTTCATGCTGGGACTTGCAGCCATCCCAGCTGCTGTGAGGTTCATAGCCTTCTTCTTCCTGCCGGAGAGCCCGAGGTGGCTGGTGGGGAGAGGGAGGAGAGATGCAGCCAGAGGTGTTCTCATGAGGCTTCGCAGGGGACCTGGGGCCGGGGAGACTGACGTGAGCGCAGCCGTGGACACGGAGCTGAGGGAGATTCAGGAGAACCTGGAGGAAAGAGAGAAAGAGAACAAGCAAAGTGTGTTTCGGGTTTCTGGGGGCTGGTAGGTGGTAACTGTGTGGGAGAGAGGTTGGGTGGAGAGTTAAAGGGAGCGAGAAAGGTGGGAAACAGACTAAAGAATGAGCATGAATAAATTGGTGCTATTGCTGCAATGTTAGTTACCGAGTCTAGTAACTTTTCCCTACCTACATACAAGTTAAGAGAACGACCTTGCCCACCTCCACCTTCTAGATATTCTGAGGAAACTGTGGATCATACTGCGCACGAGGCATCTCCTGTTGGCTCTGATAGTTGGCTGTGGAATACAGATCATCCAGCAGCTATCTGGCATCAACACTGTCATGTACGTGTGTACAATCTACTGCACCTATCAACTACATGCCATAGCCCAGTGGTTTGAGGTTTGCCTTTGTCTTTTGTTGTGTTGTGTTCAAGATTAGAACCTAAGTTGCCTTGGTAGCTCAGTTGGTAGAGAGCTCGCCTATAGACTGTAGAGTGTCATGGGTTTTGAATCCAACCTACATTGTTGTTACATGCGTATAAATGATCCCTTCTCTTGTTAGGTACTACTCTCCTACAATTCTCCACATGGCGGGTGTGAGGGACAATCATACAGCAATTGGACTAGGGGCAGTGGTGGCATTTGGGAACTTCATTTTCACCTTGATTGGTCTGTACCTTGTCGAGAGATTGGGGAGACGGAAACTTGTCCTGTCTAGTCTCGCAGGTGTCATAGTCAGCCTCGTACTTCTCGGACTCGCATTCTTTCTTGCTAATTCTGTCAGCCCGTCGGCATTTGCCCCTGCTGATATTACCCCAAACGATACATTCTGGGATGGACAGTGTCGTGCAAGGAGTAGAGTCTGCTCAGTTTGGAACAACTGTGACGATTGCGTCATAAATGACGAGTGCAGCTATTGTGTGTTCAACGGTAGTTTTGGCAGTCACGATGCAGTCGGACTGTGTGTAGCGTCCTCAGATTCAAGCCTCCATCACAATCGCCAGTGCTATGTCCCAAACAGCCTCATAAGCTACACATCGGCTGATGGCGACGATTGTTTTTCACTCGAAGTAGGTAACATGACAGTGGAAACCTATGAGACTTGCCCCAACAAGTTTGCCTGGCTGATTCTGGCCACTCTGGTGATGTATATCGTGGCATTCTCACCAGGCATGGGACCTGTGCCCTGGACTGTGAATGCAGAGATCTATCCAAACTGGGCCCGCAGTGTGGGAAATTCTGTAGCCACGACCGCAAACTGGGCCAGTAATCTTCTCGTCTCGGTCACCTTCCTGCATCTGACCCGCTATCTCACTCGCTACGGAGCCTTCTGGCTGTACGCCGTCATTGCTGCATGTGGCTGGGTGTTCTTGTTCCTCCTCCTGCCCGAAACGAAGGGAAGACCCCTGGAAGATGTGGAGGAATTGTTTCAGAGACCGCTGTGCCCACCACCAGGCATCAGCAGTGCTGGCAGTGGGTGTACTGTGCCAGGGAGAGTGGACCAGGGGAAGATAGAAGAAGATAATGACCGTGATTGATCGAAGAAACCAATCATGTGCATAGGCGTCCGGTGCGCAGTGAAACGCGGCCGGCTCTTCCGCAGCATAATTTTTCTCTTGAGAATCGTGTCCAGACTTGCTCTGTATTAAATTTATGTAGATCGTATCCAGACCAGAAAATTGGGAGCTGAGACTCCGTTCTACTACCTCACCACTTGTAAGGGAACCGTGTTTTTGCTCTTAGCGACGCTACTATTCTTTCGCGGACGCGCACAGCAGTACACTCACACAGTGTACGTGAATAACACTGCAGACTGTCGAGATGACAGTGCGGACTGTTGCAGGTTCTCCGCGACTCCCTGCTGCTCTCTGGACTGGGCGAGTAACCACTGCATGGAAAACGACACGCAAATCCTCCTTGTAGGCGAGAACCACACACTGGAAGAGCTGATTAGCTACCTTCACAGGTTTCGAGAATATAGCTCTGAGAGCTGAGGCTACAAATAACAGGTTTGATGCGGGGAAAGTTACAGTCGAATGTATGCAAGGAGCTGGATTAAACTTTATTCAGAGCCTAAAAATTTTAATTGACAGCATTGAGTTTCTCCACTGTGGGTCGCTGCAAACCAGCACGAGCCGTCGCGATGGTGCTTTCTTACCGGTTTCTATTGCCGTCTATTTCCAGTTTTGCCTAAACATCACTTTGGCATCTGTGAACATCACCAACAGCAGTGGTATTGGTGTCGCTATAGTAGGTAGCGGAGGAGTTAACTATGTTCAGAATAGTCGTTTCTACCACAATGGCCCGGCTGAAGAAGACTATGGTGGAGGTGGGCTAAAGATAGAATTCCCCTACTGTTATCCAGTGGGTCAGAATGGTTGCAAGTTATTGAGCAACAGTGAGTACAACAGTGATGCAGTGTATGAGATCATTAATTGTGAGTTCAAGGGGAATAAAAGCTGCTCCTGTCCCTAATAGGCCAAGTTACTATCAGTTCCTACCACCTGACCCTGAACGCCACACCAGCATAGGCCACGGTGGAGGCTTGGGACTCCACTTTTGCAATGCCAGCAACATTCAAATCACCATAAATGACACTGCCTTTGTGGGAAACACTGCCTACTACGGTGCGGGGATTTCGTGTAGTTTTGAAGAGTACAGTGTGAACAATACAGTCCTTGTAGCTGGGAGTAGTAGTGATGATGGTACTTGTAGTATTGCAAACAATATGGGCTTGAGGCTTCAAAACCAAACGTACAAATGGGGCCCCTATGGTGCTGGAGGTGGTATTAGAACCGTGTTTTGGTTTTCACACGCTGCCAATAACTCGTACAACACCTTGAATGTGAATAAATGCCACTTTGATGAAAATTCGGCGTACTTTGGTGGAGCTGCACTAATCAGGGCCTCGCCCGAAGTATCAAAAACCGATCCAACAAATTCCGTGTCGTTTACCGACTGCGAGTGGACTCGAAATTCTGGAGATCTCGGTGGTGTAGCCCTCATCACACCATATAATGAAACTATGAAGAGAGGAGCTTTACTCAAGCCAATTTTTCGACGGATGCACTTTTCAAAATAACAAAGGAAACCTGGTCGTAAATTATCTCCCCGTCGCATTCCAAAAATCTGTATATTTTGTAGGGAATACACGTCTACCAATGTCTGCAGGCGTTCTGACTGTTAATGAGGCAACCGTAGAATTCCACGGTAACTGCCTGGCAAATTTCACCGGAAACAAAGGTCACTATGGAGGAGCCATAACTCTGTATGGCCTTGCCTTCTTAAGAGTGTTTCCTAATACGACATTTGTATTCAGGTTCAATTATGCCTCAAGGGATGGTGGGGCTATATACCAGAGTGTCTCTGAAGTAGACATTTTCCAAAACGGGCCGTGTTTTGTACAGTACCATGACCGCACTGTGCCCCCAACTGATTGGAACACTAGATTTGTGTTCGATTCAAATCGTGAAAATGTTAGAACTGGACATCGACATCCCGTGTGCAATTCCATCGTTTTGGGCTCTGCTGTACCGTGCATATGGGAGGGATACACGTATGAAAAGAGACAAAGTGAGGAAGTTTTTCGAGCAGCCATATGCAAGGAATGGAACAGTTTTTTAGAGTTCAGATCAGATAATTGTACACAGGCTAACGGGAGTCGATGTAGTGAGTGTACCTGTCATATTCATACCAAACCGAGCAACATAACCAGAGCAATAAATGAGTTGGTTGTGATACCTGGACAACCGGTCACTTTGGGCCTGGAGCTACTCGACGACCTGGGGTCTAATGTCTCGTATAAATCGATACTGAATGTGTGGACTGCGAACAGCACGACCATGAACCTGTCTGAAGACACCTTTTACATGACTGGTGACTCACTGGCAATGTACAGCACCCCTGGTTCTGTTGGTGAGCTATACATTGACACACTGCCCCCTCAGCCACTCTTTACCTCCATCAAAATTAACTTTACCCACTGCCCACCGGGCTTTGTCCGGTATAACATCAGTTCGAAAGGATCCCTCAACTTGCCAACGTGTGAATGTAAGAAAGGCTACGGAGGACGTATCACATGCGATGGAAGCGGAACTGCCTACTTGAGCCGTGGCTACTGGATTGGCAAAATAAAAGAGAAAGATGATTATTACGTGGTGGGACGAACTCCTTATATATACTCAGAGTCTTACTTTGGAACACCTCTACCAAAGAAGGACTCTAGCTCTAGCAAACTTAATGACGTGCTGTGTGGTCCGCTACATCGCGAGGGAATCCTCTGTGGAAAATGTAAACATGGCTACATTACTCCTTTGTATACGTACTTGTTCAAATCGTGTGTAAAGTGCAAACCTCACGATTCATATGGCTGGATTGTCATTGTCCTCTTAGAGCTAGCACCTGTCACGATATTCCTGATAGTCGTGTTGGTCTTTAACATCAGTGCAACAACCGGTCCGATGAACTTTTTCGTTTTCTTTGCTCAGGTCATCCCCCATACCTTTTCTGTCAATGCAAACAACTACTTAGCAGAAAGCTCAGAGTTTTTTACTGTTCTACAACGTCTCTACAGCACGCTGTACTCTTTCTGGCGTCTTGAAATAGAAATCCCTCATGAGTGGTGCTTCACCCACCCAGTTCCCTCGCCAGAAATTTTCCTGATTATTTACGGTCAGGCACTATACACCCTTCTACTTCTCCTCATCTTCTTGCTGTTTGTCAAACTGCACGATCACGGAGTCCAGCCGTTTTACTGCTGCGGGAAATGGCTGTACGAAAAGTTGCGTCGTTTTCGAAAGCCGTGGACGGTACAACGTAGCATCATTCACGCACTGGCCACGTTCTTGGTCCTGTCGTTTACAAAGATAGTCGAAGCATCTTTTATCCTGATTGCACTTTCTCGTCTTGTGAATCATTCTGGTGAAACTGTGGCTTTAAAGCCTCTCCACTATGGAGCTCGCTCAGCTCTTTATCCCATTTTCGCGCTTGTAGCCGTCACCTTTCTCACGGTGTTTTGCTCTTGTTCCAATGTTGCTGTTGCTGGTGATACCAACCAATACACGTCTCGGAAACTTCATGTGTGACAAGATTTTTATCAGAGTACTCCGCCTCAACCCAAACAACACAAAGCTGCAGATCTTTCTCCAAGTATTTCAGGGCAGCTTCAAAGACGGGTCTGGATCGAAACACGAGAAAAGCTGCCAAAAGTTTGCCGGCTTTTACTTGTTCCTCCGGTTTGTCACATTTATGCTGGCTAAAATTTTCGCAGCACCAGAGTATCTCTTGGGCCAGCAGGTTGTGGTGGTGGCTGCAATAGTGATGTTTGCCTTATTCCGACCCTACCGCGAGCCACTGTACAACCTCATCGACGTTTTAGCGTTTGCAATGCTTGCAGTTATAAACTCGATCACGATCTACCATGTAATGGTTGAGCTTGTGGGTCAGTCGATGTCGGTACTACTCTTAGCTTTCCAGTACTTTCTGGTGTTCTTACCACTTCTTATATTGACAGTGGTGGTAATCTGGAAGACAGTGAAGCACTTTAATGGAAATCGTAAGCTCAAAAGCTACAGCTTTCTGTGGAGAGGTCGGAGAATGACTACAGCAACAGATGAGGAATTTCTTTCATTTGTGACGGCAACCAGAGACAGGGAGAATGATAATGTCGGGTAAGACAGCTGTATGGAATGGGTTCTTACATTTTCATGTCTACAGGAATGATGAACGCATTGAGGCAGCCTTGTCATTCTATGCCAGTGTTTCGGAGTCTGTAAACAGTTAGGGAATAAGTGTGCACGTGGTCATTCTGATATTGTGAAATTGGAAATTCGTAAAGATGAAATCAGACACCGCAAGCCCCCGGTGCGCATGCGCAGGATCCGCGTCAAGGATCGACGACGACCGTGAACATTAACACTGGTGGTTAAGGTAGCGCCGCCGCTGCGCAATTGTACAGGGGAAGTATACTTATCTGGCTGCAACAACAGCTTCCACGAGTCCGAAACTGAACGAGAGCTATATACATACTACACGAGAGTGGAACTTGCAGAAAGAGCTCTTTTGGTGACAAGTAGCTTCTATTACTCTGCATCGTGATTGACTTTGTGTTTGATTTTGCAGAGTTTTGCTTGGGAGATACCAATGATGTCTGCAAAACTTCTGCCAGTACTCGTGCTTTTATGCAGTGTCTGCGTAATAACAGCTCGCCATAACCGGCAAGTCTTAGCTTGTCGACTCACTGTGATTGATAAATTTCACTGCAGCATGTGCACTTACATGAGATCTACAATGGAGAGCTCCCAATACTATGCTCAGGGATCCTACAGCTCTTCGTATAGCTGTGGCTTTCTTTGGTTGAGCAGGTGCTACCGGTACGATTTCGTCATGTGTGAACTCACACACACCCATCCCCTTACGTACTCTTAGTTAAAACAATAGTGTGTGCAGTAGCTACTATACCAATCATATTATAGTGTACAAATTATAGGAACATTCAAACTGACAGCCAAGACTATGGCCAGTAGTACTTGCACTGCACAAAATAATTTTTTTAATATCTGTCTATCCAGCACTAGGTACAGTTCATCACTTCGATATCGTTCGAGAATGGTATATCGTCAACATTTTGCTTGCTGTAGTGGCTATCACGATTTTGGAAGAGAGTGTTTGCGTACGTTTTGTCCCCTGTGTAAACATTACTCATCCCCATTGTTATAACACTATCAATTGCAGCTGCATGCACCAACTGTTCAGAGTCCCACTCGTGTATAGCACCAGATTTCTGTGCCTGCCCGGAGAACTGGTCTGGTGAAGGCTGCACAGGTTAACAAACCAATCACGATGATTGATGGGATCAACATTATGGGGGGTGATCAGTGCCAATATTATGATGTTTTACAACTTGTGTGGCATAGAATGCATTATGTAGCAGTCCTTTCGGTGGATGATGTAGTAAATTTCCTTTCATGTTTGCTGGTTCTACCGCATAAAGCAAAATGCATTACGTATAGGTTTGACGATGGCAACGCGAATAGGACATACTTGCCATCATCAAACCTACTTGGTATATTATGTTTCTCTAGCACAATGCCTGAATTTCCTATAAGGAAAAGGAAAGCAAAGTGGGTGTTGATTAGGGAGTGACATAGCCCTCTGCTGTTGGTGTTAGTGGGTGCTACTACTGGCCAATAAATCATACCCTATAATTGCTTGGGTAACATATGCCAAATAATGTTGAACGTACTACATAATGTAAAATACACTACATAATGTAGAACCAGCAACCATCAAAGGAAATTCACTACACCATCCACCGAAAGGACTGCTACATAATGCCACATAAGAACATAATTGTGGCACTGACCACCCCCCATACAAATTATATTGGGGCATTATTATGCAGAACCTCCCCAGAATGTAACCCTCACGGCAACAGGCCATGATAAACTCGAGATCACCTGGTCACCACCACCACCAGAGTTTTCCCCAACCCTCTATGTCGTCATTTGTCAAGATGAGACGTATCATGTCGATCCATCGAGTGAACTTGTCCTGGAACTGGACTCACTGATGACGTATACTGCATACAACTGCTGTGTCGCTGCTAATACTGCGACAGGTCCATCACGAATCTCCTGTGCAACGCAAATAACCCTGGAAACAGGTTAATGCTGATGTACTCCCTTAGTGTGTATAACCCAATGCAAGTGGAGAGAGCCACATGTAAACTAAGCACTGAGACCAAGATTCAAACCCGTGCACCTATGGGAGTATGTGCTGTGCACATGTGTCTATCGCCAAAGTTTAAAGAATTTCCATATGTGCTCACTCAATTCATTATATATACAAAGTTGTTCATTTTCCCCCATGATCATGGGATTCCCATTAATATAAAGGTACTGATGTAATCATTGACAAAGGTATTATTATGTGGATAACAGTCTGGACTCGTTTTTTTCCTTTTTTCCAGCTCCTGGAGATGAACCACAAAATGTAATTGTGAACACCCTAAACAGCACTGCCGTACATATTCAGTGGAGCCCTCCCTTCACTCCTAACGGCATCATTATCTTCTATACCGTCTACATCGATGGTTCACCTGTGCTGAATATCAGTGCTACAAATGGTACCCAAGACAGCACCATTGGTGACTTCCTGCCAAACCAGAGATTGGACGTACGTCTCTCAGCAAGTACGGAGGTTGGGGAGGGACCTCTGACAGTGACCCACAGTGTTACCACCCATGAATCAGGTACAATAGTCACATGTATGCTGGAGGTAACACCAGCTGCTCTAGTCATACTGACCAGAGAACTGACAGTTGTCTAGACCCTAAAACCAATAGCATTTGGACTTCAGTCTTCGTCAGGTGCATGTGTCAACAATGCGGTAGCAAGGGAAGAAAACAAGCAAGTCAACTACACCCAGGACAACTCTTTTCCCACGGAAAACAGAAGAGCTGCCCTGGGTGGGATTCGAACCCATGCAGTCTAGGCGAGCGCTTTACCAACTGAGCTACCAAGGCAACTCAGCTGGTAGGGGTTAAATCTTCAACACAATACAACACAAAGGCAAAGGCAAACCTCAAACCACCACACAGTATGCTCTCACTCAGTATTCCACAGACAACCATTAGTTCTCTTGTCAGGTACATAGCTACACAATACACTTGTGCTACGTAGTTTACCAACTGCAGTTCCGGGTCCAGTTGGGAATCTGAGTGCCACTGCACGTTCTGGCAACATCTTCTACGTCTCATGGGACCAGCCAGTATATCCCAACGGAGCTCTCACTGGGTACCAAGTCTGGATATCAAACCTGATAAACACCACAGAGACTGACCTTTACACAGTTGCCCCCAATATGCAGGAGCTGATCATCAGCAGCGGAATTCGTAAGATTACAGTACCTGCCATCTGTGAAAACTCTCCATATTATATATAGCACTTAAAAATGAGCTACATTAAACGGGCAAATCCTTGGTGAAAGAGTATAACGTATGTGCTAGAGGAATTCTAAGTTTTGACCGTGCAGCTATCTACCCAGTACTTCTTTGCATATTTGGCTTTTCTCTGCTTTTTACACCACGAAATTCGAAATTCATACTTGAGAAGCAGTTAGTATCACTTTTTGGCTGTCATGATTAGAGACAGACACATTCGCACGAACCACAAGTTGTCTGTGAAAGGCTACAGAAATGTATTTGGGACAACATTGAACTGATGGTCGCTTGATCCCAACAGTTGAAAAGACAACACAGCACTGATTTATAAAAACATTAATGATATTTTACATCAAAGTGGTCCATTAAACCAGTGATCCACATCGTAAACAAGAGTGTTCCATTAACCATTAGGTAGCTATCCACTGTACACAACTATCTCCTACATGTAGGTCCATATGTAAGATACAGAGTGTCAGTGACTGCTTCAACCGGAGTGGGACCAGGAGACCCAGTCAATGTAACACTGTACTCACAAGAAGGAGGCAAGTGTTCATACCTCCCACTTTTTCAATGTCTATTATGGGTCACTTTTTCATTGCATATAGTTCCACTGAGCGCCCCTCCAAATGTTACCAGTACTCGACGTTCACCAACCTCTGCTAGTGTGCAGTGGGATGATATAAGTTTGGAGGATCTGAGAGGGTGGCTGGTGTCCTATGAGATTGGATATGAGAGTGTGACATCCGATGGCCAGTGTCCTGCGGCCAATGTCTCATCCAACACTGAGACATTGTCTGTGGACCAAGAGATGCATGAATTGACAGGTCTAGATGCGGGACTGCAGTACTGTGTGAGGCTCGCTGGGAGGACCAGTGCTGGAGTCGGCCCTTTCTCACACACTCTCATATCATGTATACACATCTATCCGTTTGTTTGCTGTTGTTACTACCTGTACCACCTATTGTAGGGTATGTCAACAGCTTATTCACGGTTACTCTAACTCTTGAAAAGGCAAACTGCAGAGAATGGATTGTGAGTTATTTCAGCAAATTGGGATTGTGAGTTATTTCAGCAATAGTGTACCCTGTGATACATCTGTCTACCTGCTGCTACACATTATTTTTGTGCCACTATACACAGAGTTTAGTTTGCCTTTTTCATCCATCCACAACACTCTCTGCTCAACAAACTCTATGAATGTAGACTTTGAGCCCTACTTGGTGGGTATAGCCACAGGGGCAGCTCAGCAGGCAGGGTTCAAAGTCTACAGCAACCAGATGGAGATCTTTGTGGTGTAGTTGATATGCACTTGCTTTGCATTGAGAGCCATTGCTTCATACAGGCCCAAGATCCGGAGGAGATAATGGTAGACCTTGCAAGAGATTTCAGCAGGGGTGTTGAACTAGTGTGCCGCTGCAAATTTCCCGACAGCCACATTGCAAATGGACAACTGATGTGTCTGAATGACAACCTGATAATATACCAGGGAAGGATGATAGGTACTATTGACAGGGACAGCAACAATCTCTTGGCAGACTTTGAGACGTGGGTGTCGAGTGAGCCGACAGTAATAGCCCAGGGAGAGGTGCTTAAAGTAGTGAAGAAATCGGGAATTAAGCCGGAGAACACTCCCAGCGTTGAACCAATAGGACAACCAGACACTCCACAAGACAGTATTCCAGTGTCAGTGGTTGGTGGAGTGGCTGGAGTAGTTGGTGTTCTACTTTTACTGGCTGTTGTGGTCATTGTAACCGTTGTGGTGGGCCTCCGCAAACACAAGTAGGGAGATGCTTTCAGGAATAAATTAATGCTCATTACAATTACTTTCTATTCATTGCTGCAGGAGAAATTTGGATTTGAAATCACAAGCAAACAGTTTCGCTAGAAATCAGAATACAGCTGATCGATACACAACCCACACTCCCACGGAATCCTTATCTGACCTCGGAAAAGATTATGAAAAGCTATCGAAATGCCCAGAAGTCCCAGAACAGCAGAAAACTCCGCTCGAATACGAAATGCCAGTCATTCAGAGTGAAAACATCTACGAGGATCCTGAAAAACTGACGATGGAGTCTGCTGCAATGGAGAACTATGAGGTGATGGCACCTGGTGTAGGAACGAGGGATGAGGGAGAGGGAAAAGCCGGGGACGTTTACTCTGACATCCAGTGAAGAAACAAATTATGGTTTACACTGTTTATTAGTCTTAAGGCATGCGTACATATTGGTTAATGTGTTTTGGTAGCTACTTTAGGCTGCAAGGCAGCACGAAATGCTTGTTGACTGCCAAAATGTTTTGTTGTTAAAATTTTTGTGCTCAGTGTTGCATTGTGTAAATAGTTATGTGCAGCAATGCGAAACATTTCCTGCTAAGTGATAATTAATCGGAGTTGTACGATTATAATTATTGTGCATCTAGCTATGCATTGTCATTGAACACACACGTTTGCCACAGAGTGTATATAGCTCAGCTACTATGGCGTCAGATTGCCTCTGCATAGATATATGAGTAGCTCACGAGAGATTCCTCTGGCCCACTAGTCCCTCTCTGCAGCGGTTCGTAGGCTGGGTTGCTAGACACGGTGATATCACCACTGGCCAAGTATGCCTCATTGGCCGAGGTGGAAATGTCCACAACAGAGTCACCTGAGATAGGTAGGGTCTCTGAGTCATCAGGAGTATCGATGGGTGTGGTGTTGGAGGCTCTGATATTAGTGGTGTCTTCAACAAGAATGGCACTCTGTCTCCCTCTCTTCTTCCTTCTCCTCCGTCTGGCCAGACACACCACACAACAGATGAGGTTCGCCGTGATCATTAGGAAGAGTGCACCAGCCATGCCAATAAAGGAAATGCCTATGATTTCCCCCACCAATAAGCTGATGTTGTCTGTTTGATTGCTATTGCACATAGTTGGAGGCACATTTGTATGAGAAAGTAGGTTATCATTGCTAGAAGCACCTGTGGAAAGAGTGTATAAAAAAAAAATTTATGTTAAAAAGACACCCTTTTTTGGAGCAGTGCTCATGTTTTTAATTTCTCAAAGTCGGAATGGCCGAGCACTATACAGCTACATGCTTTGTGAGATCAAATCACCCATGTGTTGATGCATCACTGACAATTTTTGTGAAATAGCTTGTATCTCTTGTTTCAACCTTTAATTGTTGTGGTGACACTGCAATATGGGGGTGGTGCCATGCTAGGCATAGCTGGTGAAAGTTGAACACAAGGTCGCAGTGCATCTGTCCTATTAATCAGCACTTCCTTACTCACAAAGTTTGATGAACTACATTCCCCACCTGTGAGTGTGTGTGTGTGTGTCAAATCATATAGAGGAGCTCAAACATAAAGCAACGAGTTTACTTACTGATGTTAAGTGATAAAAGTGGTATGTCCATCCCTTCATCGTGAATAAAGCCAATCTGGCTGGTTGAATACCTCTGGTATACTTTCAGTGAGTCGTTTTCGTTCACCCATCGATTTGTGCAGTCGTACATTTTGACACAATGTGTTACTGATGACAGATTGCAGAGGATGAAACTGGAATTAGTCACAATTTGTACCACTACATCCACATCTGGATCTCCAGGAATTGCGTACGCTCCTGCAAGAATTTGCGACAGGACCCCAGAGCAGCCTAGCCCAAGATGTATCTCTGGGCTGCTGTAGAGGACAGGGGAATCTCTGTTTTTCCACACTCTCCTCAGCTCAGACGGATTCATTATACCCTCAATACAACCTTCAGGATCTGCAGTACAATAATATTATGACGTGGTACAAGTGTCATGATGATGACTACAGAGGGAAGGTATTGTAGCCATATTATGATTACCTGTTTCTACTGCCAATAATGGATAATCGTGGTCATATCGACAAGTTACTTGATCTGTTTTACTCCAACAGATTTTTCTAGACTCGTTTCCAATCTGGTGGAGCAGTCTTAAATGACTGCTCTCGAGGTCAGGATGGAAGATAGTAAAATTGTCTCCACTGGTGAATGACACTCCAGTAGAGAGACTCAGATTATATCCATATTCTCCAAAAGAGTTTGTTGCTCCCCTCAAGCTGATAGTCTGTGGTGGTGTGTTATTAGCTATTATCAGCTCAATGGCGTCACTACCATTTCCAGGAAGAGCTATGAACACAATCTCCACAATCTCGAAATCAGAAGAGCAATTTCCTTGCGCATCAGGTACGGCTCTAAACTCTCCGTCGTGCGTTGAAAATCTATCAGCACTTCCTGCTATTGGACGAGAACCACATATATACAGCTATAATGTAGGTGTTGCTGTAGAACACTGAACACTTCACAATGCAGTATAACTAACCGTATTCAGAAGACGCACTCACAACGACCGCTAAGATCAATACGGGCAGCATTTTGCAAGAACGTGTAGCTACTGTTATTGCATGCCGGACACAAGGCGTTGTGCGAGCGCGCATGCGCACAATGAATTTGCCCCGCCGCCGCGCCGCCTAGCCTATGCCTAGCGCACGATTTGCTGTGCTGTAGATGTCCCTCCTCTCTGGATCGTCATGGCTTATGACTATTCTGCAACTGATCCGCTGCTTTCTCACTCTGGAAACACTCCGGAGAAACCCGTCTGTGGCCCAGCTCCTGGGCACGGAGGCTACGGATCTGTGGGTGGAGACTTCCCGTACCACCTGACGGCCCAAACCACCACGGCTGGTCCCTACCACGGAATACACCCCCCACAGACGGCTGGATCGGCAGCCTCATCGATTGCTCACGACCAGCACCAAGGAGGGGTATGTTAGTCTAGTTCTTTACCAGACCTCTAACAAAGCTGTAGCAGTTGCTACAGTATGAATGTTAGGGCCCTATCTCAAGGTCTACTAGCTAGCTACATGTTTATATTGCCCGCAGGAGCAGCACCAGTGGGGCACTGGTTGGAACCCAAATGGTCCAGGCCCTGATTCTTACTCGTACCCTGCAGACAGCCGGCCAAGACCAGGGCCTATTCCTCCTCAGAGCCTTCATGCAGAGAATTCATCAGCACTTCCTCCTGTACCACCAGCCCATCCCCCTAGCCAAGTAAGCCTTTTGACAGATTCTGATCACGATTCTGGTCGGCACAGGCGAATTAATAGTGTGTACTGCGAGGGGGGCCAGGGCGGAGTTCCCTGCAATGCACATTCCTAAACATCTCTCTTGTTCACATAATAACTCTGTCTCCTGAGCAATTAATGTGTCGACTCATTGAAGAAATAGCACATAATACACTATGTAAAACTAACACATTTGGCGAGTAAACCCAATAGCAAAAGTTCAAGAGTTTAACATTAGGATAATAATACTGTGATAGCGGCAATAATTAAAGATTACTACTTTAGGGTATGCAGCCAAAAGACTAAAACAGGGTTGGGGCTCGCTTTGCTCACCAAAGAACATGGAAGAATGCATTATTGTTACTGCAGATTCAACATCCTCGTCCAACTGGATATCCAGTTAATCAACATCAGCCTCAACAATTTGTCCAGCGACAACAACCAGCTCACCCTCAACCATTCGTCCAGGCACAGCCACCAGTGTACAACCCCACTGTCCATCACCATGTGGCCATGGTACGTACCACTCACTGTGGTTTTAAGGGTGTATCATTAATTGCCGCAGTTCCTCCAAGTTACCGTGTACTTTTAACTCTCTGTCATGCGTGTGCAGTGAGACTTGGATTATCTGTTTTCTGTTTTATTTTCACTGGCTAAGAATCACAAGTGTGGAGAGTAGAAAGCTTCTTAATTGAAAACCAAATTAAAACTCTCCACACATGCGGTTGTCTGCAAGTATACATGTCAAGGCCGTAGGAAGCACTTTTGAAGTGGTCAGGCCAATGGGCGTGGTATAAGCCAGGCCCCCTAAACCACGCCCTTCATTACGTTCTCAAATGCGGGTCGTCGCGGATGCGTTGTAGTTTCCGCACTGGAGGTCGCGCAATCGCAGGGCGGGTATAAAAGGGGGGTGGCCGCCCCCCACAGGAGACGCTATATGATCGAGGCGCAGCAGCTCTCGCGAAGCCACGCCCATGAGCCCCTGCGCACGCGCAGTCTTGAAAGCCAGGGTCAAAACTGGTCCGACCAAAACCGGACCGGCTGGACCGCTTGCTATGGCCATGCATGTAGTTGCGCATGTGTACATGTTGTATGTGTGATAATGCATACCGGTTGTATATACTACAGCCTATGTATGTTCTAACATCAAGCAAAATGTACCGCATGCCATTTTACATAGAATTTTCTGCAAGTATACATGTAGTTGCATATGTGTACATGTTGTATGAATGATTGTATAATTACAAGTGGAAAAGTCATTTCTTCAAAATGAAAGGGG